CCTATTGCTGAGGAAGTGCCGTTGGTTTCTTCTTCCAATACGCTTAGGGCACAGAGGCCATTTGGATTAATGAGAGGCAGACATAGTGGAGAAATACTGCATTATCCTTAGTCTTTGGTAAGTCTAGGCAATTAGTGAAACCTTTACAAGAAGTATCTTTCATTTCAATGCAATTTCAAAGTAATCATCTCATCTGGTAGGGATGTCATCTGTATTGACTGATAACATACTTTACCACTAGTATTTCTCTTCCCATCTCTAACAAGGGAAATAGTAGTGTTTTCTTTTTCCTGTTTTTGTCTGTTTAGTCAGCAAGCTTCTTTGGCAGAGGACTCCTTTATGCTCCATACAGTAAAAACCTTGGTTCTATGGGGCCTCAAGGGACTCTTGTGATATGAACAGTAACAAAAGGGCAGGAAGACGTCCAAAGGCATATTTTGAGACAAATGGTCAGTAGTTCACATCTTTTTTTCTTTCTTTCTCTTTTGAAAGTAGAGGACAAATTTCTTTGCCTCAGTAGTAGGGGAAGTTAAGGCATTTCTGAAATGCAGCTTTGAATAGCTTGGCACAGTTCAGTGTGGTGTTCAGTAGGCTTTGTGGTTCTTCATGGTTACCATGAATGCATCATGCTTGCCATTCTTGTCATTGACCCCAAATCAGGGAGCTTTTCCATTTCAGGGATTGGGAAATAATCTGCAATAATTATTTTATTAGTACTGAGTCGTACTTGTGAGTGTTAACGGTTAAGCAGCCAGCAGTGTTGGTGGAGAAATCAATAGGGTAGAAGTCGTGGATTTGGTAAGTGTCTGATCATGTCATTTGATACGCACCTAGATGTGTGCTGGCTGTTCCCCACAGCATGTTGAATAAATCTCTCTCACACACACACTTATATATCTAAACACAGGTTTCAGAGGTGTGTGGGAACAACCCAGGGCATTGGATGTTGCAACCTACAGTCTCTCTGGGCATAATTTCTGTGAGAAAAAGTTATTCTGTAGATAGGTATGTACCTTTAATTTTCAGACATCATGACAATACTGTTTTGAGCAGGGCAAAATGTGGTTTGCCCATAGTCTGGTCTGTAACTGGAGCTGCATCTGGTGCTCGTGGGAATGCCATGCCTCGCATCTGATCTGGAATGCCAATGAGCCCATATGAAGCTGTTAATGTCTGTGTGAGGTTTTTCAGTCCTCATTACCAACCTGATAGGAAGATAATTCCTCAGCTGCTGTTTCAACCTGTGGGATTTTACCCACTTAATTAATTTTCTTTCTTGTTAAAAAAGATCTCTTTTTATGCACAAGGAGCTGTGCTTGACTTGTTTTTCAGGGACTCTTCTCATGTCTGTATCAAAGGCACAGAGGCCTCAGAAGTTGGAAGGTGAGCCCTAGGGGCAGCATGCCTGTGGAGGCTGAGCTTGGAAATGCTGCCTTGTGTGCTGAGGGCAAGCTCCTGGTCGGGAATCAAGTTTGCACAGTGGAGGGGACCCTTGTTCCATTCCCTGCTCCCCCCTTTTGTCGCCACTCAGCAATAAAATGGAACCTTGTGACATGACCAAAGGATAATAAACTGCATGCCCAATGCCTGCTGAGAGTTTAAAATGCCAGCCTACACCACCCTCCCCAACCTTTCACCATGTCAGCAAGCTGTCTATGTAAATAAATACACATATCAAACAATAAGCAGATGCCTTCTTAAAATGCACTGTTTCAGGTTGAGATACTCAGTTCTGATGTAGCTCATCTCAACATCTATCACGCTAATACCAACTCCACAGCTCCCTTTCAGCTGTATTTAATGCACAGAGGTTTGTGTTGTGTTAAGTAATGAGGAACTGGCTTGTTTGACATCTGTTTTGGTGTTGTCTGTGGTGTATAAAACGTTAGATAGGAATTCTTTGTGTTCCTCCTGATCTCTGTGTCAGTATATAGTGAAAACTCTTGTTCATTATGCTTGATTAAGTGGGTTTATACAAGCATGTGTGCGATTGTACAAATATACAAGGAAGAAAAAAAGTCACTTGCAAAATACACCACCACTGGGGCCCCAAAGCATACAAACACTGAAGTGGGGAGGAAGCTGTAATGTGGGTTGGATTTAAAATAAAATTTGTTTTAAAAGCTAAATTCCAGCAGAGTCACTTGTACCCCTTAAATCAAACTGAGGAGCCACAGAGTCTAAAGCCCCAAGGGTGTATCTCAGTGCAGTGCAGTGGGAGGGGCACTCGTGAGCTTCTAGGCTGTGTCAGATCATGTCTAATCCACGGTCTTGTCTCTGATAGCAGCCAGTAGAGATTAGAGAGAATGTTAGACCAGTACAACAACCAGGAGAAATTCCACATTAAGCTCTTGTTTATTTTTGTTTTCATATTAAAAATATATTGAGCCCAGGTGATCTATAGTCTGCTGGGCCTACTCTTCTGAAAATTCACCAGCAGGCTAAAGGAGTGCTGGATCCCCTGGTGCAGCTGTCAGTGTCTGTGCCTCTACATCAGCCTCAGAGAAGGTGTCTGGCTTTTATAGTCCTTATTCTCATTTCTCACATGATAATGCTTTTGCTCTAATCAGATACAACAGAATCACATTTAAAATAAAAAAAAAAAAATAGATTCTTTATGCATGCAACAAGTCTTTAAGACAGCTCTCCATCAGACTTTTCTGAAGTCTGCTGTAAGAAAGGAGAATATTTCTGCTATTTGAGACTCTCAATTGGACTACATACAAACAAAGCAGGGGGAAGAGGAGAGGCATGACCTACTGGAGAGGAGGATTTAGATGGCCTGATACATCTTTTTTCTTAATGTTTCTTGAATAGAGATGATTGACAGCTCTCATTTGAACAAGCATGCACAGAAGGCAAAATACATTATTAGTGACCCTAAATATATTAGAGCCCTATGCTTCTGATCACAGTGGTGCATCAGCTAGAATAGTAATAGGGGATGAATGGGGTTTGCCTATATGGATAGCACTGTTCTTCCATAGTGGAAAGGAAAAATTGCTAGTTAAGATGCCGTTGAATCAAATTTTTGATGACTCTCTGTACACCTGCCTGACACTTTCCATCATGTGGTTTCAGGTAGCTTTACAAACCTGAATATTTTTTTCCTTCACTGTCTTCAAAGGCTGGGAGTTACTACCCAATACTGCATGTCTGAAAGGAATAGGACTGTATTCAATAGGATATGTTTCTACCAGGCAGCGGACACGTTCTCCTGTGCAGAAGTGTACAGACGTGCATTTTCTCCATACAAGCACTTGCACCTCTCAAATACTTACCCTTCCTCTTTAAAGAAACCAGAATGTGATTGGTAGGTGTGTATTTGAAATGCCAGGTGCAGAGCAGGGAAGAGACTTGTAAACAAATACCCACAGGAGGATGAACAACAGCTGAAAGTGTGATGAAACACTCCACTAGCGACATGGGCATGGAGAACATCTGCCTGAGTAGTGGTTTGGTGGTCTGCTCTGCTCACTAGACCACGCTGCCACTCTAGTGCACATAAGATGAATGTCTAGGGCTCCTCACCAGGGTGTCAGAGGGTGGGCACAGCATGCAGTATTCCTGTGTCACACTACACCCTCTTCCTCATCCTGGGTAAGTGTGAAATAACACCTCTGTGGTGGGAAGCAGGGAGCTGCAGACAGAGGGATGATGTGCTGTGTATGGAAGGAATTTCCTTTCATGTGGTCTGATGTGACATTAGCACTTCCCAGCTGGCTTGTAGGTAGCTTTGTAACCTACTGGATGCTAGTGCAGCTCAGTGTGGCTGTCATCTCCAGACAGCATGACAAAGAAGGGGAGTTTGACATGTTAGGCTGTAGCCCTGTCTCAGTGTCTTATGGGGGCTGCTGAGTGGAGTTGCTGGGAAAGGACCTTCTCTCCCAACTTTTCATCTTGACCATGGAGAAGTTACTAAGCATTGTGATGCGAGGTGGTCAGTGGTGCTCCCTGATGTTGCATGTGGACACTTGGCATTGGCTTTGGGATGCTGGAGGGGCTGGGCAGAATAGAGGATTTGGGCTTCAAAAGAGAGCAAAGCAGCAAGGTAGACTAGACAGGAGAGAATTAATATTATGAAATGGATTTACATGGCGCCATCTTCATATCTAAACTGGAGCTGTCAGGGAGAACGAGATCCAGACTCACTGCTGTTCTCCAGAGTGAAGCCATTATGGAGCAATCGCTCTGTTAAAGTGATGGCTCCACCTCTGTGCCCTGTGTCTGGCTGATTTCTGCAAGTAGAAAACAGACAGGATCTGGCATGATCCCCCTCCTTTCCCACTGGCCTTTCATGCCTTTCTGCAGACTTCTTTTGCTTGCTTTGTTGCTTTCAGCCCTTGTGTATCTGTTGATATCTTCCTCCCATCCCTGCCTGCCTCTCAGCTCTACCACCTTGCCCTCTTTTTCGTCCTCAGTCATCTCTGGCTCCCTCCATTCAGCACACAGCTGTACTCTAACATCCATCCAGTAAGTGAACATGTGTGTGCGTATTTGTTGCATACAGTACAGAAAGGGGAGTGTGTGGTAAACATGTAACTACCTTTGTTTTACCACACACTGCTCCATCTTCTGTTCTGGGACTTGCCTTTTGGGGACTCACAGCATCTCTTCCTGGTGCTTCTGTCCTCTCCTGTTTCCGTGGTGACTCTTCTCTGCTTTGCAGGGGAGCAGGAGGGGAAGATGCAGAGCAACTCTATTGCTTCTTTCATATGCTGCTTCAAATAGTCTTGTCCTCCTCCTGCCTTCTGGTCAAAGCCCTTTTCTGGCTGGTTTAAGGAACTGGAACATGAGGAAGGAGATTTTGCCTTTAGTCCAGACCTCGACAGGGTCTTCAGGGTCACTGCCAGATGCTTCCCCTCATGTTCTTCAGGTGTGCAAGAAAGAGCTGATCTTTACCTAAGCAGGACAAGGCGAGTGAAACAAGGTCACAGTCTTCTCCTCACTCCCAGTATGGAGGTATGTGTCTTATGTATTTTCTTTGCTGTTTCTGACAGGTTGACCAGCCCAGATCACAGTGCTAGCGATCTGAAGCAAGGATCCTGACCGATGCATGTTCAGCACAACCTGACTTCTTCTTGAAGAGAACAAATATTTCTCTGAAAGTCTGTCCCCTCAAAGCAGCACACAGGTAAGGCAAACAGTGCTCCTGATGCTCAGGTTCAGCTTCTGCTGGGTATGGGCATGCTGCATTGGATTCCGCAGAGGACTTTTTCCACTCCTTTGTCACCTCTGCCTGCCATGTCTGGAGGGGTGAAACCTTACATTGTATTTACAGCATGGGGAATGGTTTTCAGAATAAAAAGGACTTTCAGAGGATCAAGACTACTCATATAGTTGAGATAAATACGTGTTAAAAGTGTGGGAGGAGTATACTGAAAAAAGAAAAACGTTGCATACAAGGTATTGTTAGAACAGTACTTAGACCTCTTGTTCCAAAATAATTTTATATTAAAAATTACCTTAATTTAAACAGAAAACTTTTTAAGAAAAAGGAATAGGGAAGGATATGTTGTGGGGAAGGGGTTAAGTAAGAAATTAATTTAATACTTGAGTTTTCAACTGGGCAAGATGTTTCAGGTCATCCCTAGGTGAAAAAAAGGAAAAAAACCCAAAAAACACCAAACAGGAAAGCCTTGCAGTTCTAATCACTATGACTCATGGAAACCAGATCTAGAAAAAATGAGGCCCTTTAGTCCAAACTCTTAATCCCCTACTAGTATGTAACATCGTTCCCAGCAGTGTCTACCAGTCCTGATTTAAATGATGGGATTTTCCCTTGTCCCCTTGGGATACTATTGCACAGTCTAATAGAATTAATCTGCTTACTTCTCTTTCAACTCCTGACCACTGCAGATGCAATTAGTAGTAGGTGATGGGAGGATTTTGTTTCCTATGCTGTATTAGGAAGGCTTAGGGCTGTATTGTGTTAAACCAGACATCACTTGCAAGTGTGTTTGCATGAGTGTGGCTTATCTGTCAGTACTCATTACAGCCCCATAAACCTCTCTGAACTACATTTCTCAGACAGGAGCTTTTCTACAGTGGTAATTCAGGATCTGATAAGACACAGACTAATGTATTTGAATGCCTGTGAGAAAGATAGTATGATTGGAAACTGAAGTGAAATGCAAAGTCATATGCTGCCAGTGCTAGAGACTCTCAGACGCAATTTACTTCTCTGCTTCTAGAGCATTCTCTGGCCTCATTTTTGACTTCCCTCTTGGACAGTTTGATAGGAGTTATATGAAATAGCTCTTTGCTGTGTGTGGTGCTGCTGGAGGTACCACTCCACCTTTCCATCTGAGAATTTCAGGCTTGTCGTAGATGAATATTGTGGGTTTCTCTAATGCTGACTGAAAGACTCCAGTCAAATAACGAGATGCATATAAAGTCAAATAAATTGGATCTGGAAAATCATAGCTGGTCTTATCTAGATAATCTCCACTTAATACAAAGTAGAGGTTCCTTCTGTGACATTTCACCTATTTTGCTTTTCAAATTTGGACAAGTTTTATTAATGAAAACTGTTAGATTCTAAAGCACATGGATGGAGTTTCAACTGGTTTACACCTGGAGACTATAGTAACAGCTGAGCTGTACAAACTCCGTGTGTGGACACTTGGATTCATCCACTTCCAAACTAAAAACCACATCCTAATAAAGAAAGCAACTGCAATATAATTGCTATTGATGTTTGAATGAAGCTGCAATGTGAAGCGGAGCCTGGGGTCCTGAAAAACTGGGAACGTGCTAGCCTTCCACATGGGATGCATCCCATGGCATTAAAGGAGGTTATAGTCCTGTTCCTCCTCCCTCCCAATAAATCCTGGTTCTGGCATGTCATAGCTTTTCTGGAGTATTTCCTCAATCAGAAGGCCTAAATATGAATTTAGCCACTGGACCAGTGTTTCATTATCAAGAAAAAATTTGTTAAAATTTGACTAGTTTGCCTGTGTTTGTCAGATCCGAAATTCTTAAACGCTGAAGACTGAGTTGCAAATATTCAGTGCTAATTTTCCCATTGTTTTTAATCCCTTTGAAATTCTTTTCCAGCTTGGTGCTTGGCTACTTCATGTAGTGATTTTGAATGTACTTTAAAGAATGGGGAGGTGGTGACTGAGCAAGGTGTAATGATCCATAGAGCTTTAGATCCATCTGCAGCTTATGTTCCCTGTCCTTGCTTTGCCAATCAAGCTTTATTCCAGTGAAAGTGTCAGTAGAGCCAAGGCAGATAAGTAGTGTTTCTCTTCTACTCTTCACCTTTCCTTTTCCTCCCGGAAGTTTTCTTGCTGCTCACTTTTTAAAAGCTCTGCATTAGCTGGGGGGCATTGAGAAGTAAAAGGCATGCTTTAAATACAGATGCTGGTGATAGTCCTTTCAAAAGCTGCATTTCTCAAGCTGGGAGCTATTGACCCCTTTCAATGCAGTCACAAAGAAATCCAAGAGGAAATGGAGGGTGAGGGCCAGCAGGGAATATATATATATAAATTTTTTCCCCCAAGTCATCTTCTTACTCCACCTCCTGCCAGGCTGGCTATTGTTTGAGCCTCCACATGGGATACCAGTTGCCATATAAGGAAAATGGCATCATGCTACATTCTTTCTAAAAATTGATTTTTAACAGTTGCTTTCTCCCCCCCCCCCTTGTTGAAAGTTGTTCTGTTTTGGTGGCAGCTCTAGCCAAAAGGAAAGTGGTAGGCTATGGTATGCATGTATTCAGTCTTGGGCTGTGCAAAAGATTTACTTTGTTAGTCCAGGTGGTTAGGCAAAGCAGCAGTAGAAAATTATGACATTCAGCTACTATGACAGGAGCTGAGGATATTAGATTTTGCTGCATCTTGAGCTCAGTAACAATGAGTAATAAATGTAAATAATGTTTTTTCTTGCTTAAGAGGATGCTGAGGCAATGGAACAGAGGCACAGAGTACCCCTCTGTGTCCTTTTTTTTTCACAATCTACCTTTTATTCATGTATGTTTGCAGCCCTGATGTAAGCACACCTCAATTCTTACAAGGGGATCTCACCTTTTGACCGAGTCCACTGCTGGACATGACCAGAGTCCAGTTATCTCCGTAGGCATCTGAAATATTTGAGCCCGCAGGAAGCAAGGCTGTGAGCAAGAGTATTTTAGAGGCTGAGGTTCTTTCATGGGTAGCAGGGGTCGGTCAAAACATGCACCAGCTCAGGAAAAGGATCCTGAGGTTTGGGATTTTTTCCTGGTGCAACTGTCACTTGTTGATGAAGAGAAACTGCCTGCTTTTTTGAAATAAGTCTGACCTTCAAACAAACCCACTTAGCAACTTGTACACAGGAACAACTGGAGCAACATGAGCACAAAGTAGGTTGAATCCCCTGATTCCAGAAAGCAGAGGCAGAGCCTGGAGTGGGAAAAGCATAAGTCTGGGAGCTGGGAAAAAGCCAGCTCTAGGAGAAGAAGGAATGTGTGCTTGTGCATGCGAGCATAAGAGTTGGGCACTCTTCCTCTTGTATCCTTTTGTATCCATAATTGGGATACATCTTCAGTCGTTCTTCCTATAGTTGCCATCACTTCTGACTTCCTGTGATGCCCTGTTGATTCTCCCTATAAAAATCTGTTCAGCAGCTGATACTGTTGCAAACTTGTTAAAAGTAAAACCAGACAAAACCCTGTTCCCTCTTAGAAAGAGCAACAACAAATTTTGAGGTTCATTTACCACAATCATGTCATAATACTCAATCTGTGTTATGCTGAGGTGTGATTACAGAAGTGAAAAAAAGGGAAAAGTACTTTCTATAAGCTCTTTTTTGGCAGAAAAATAATTGTTCAATATTACAATTATTATTATTATCTGTTTATGCATTGAGAATATACACTTTTTTCTTTCTAAAATGTTGAACAATTTGACAAGTTTTAAAGAAACTGAAATTTTTGAGAATGGAATAAGGACTTCTTAAAGGTTCGGTGTTTTATATAAAAGCCTGTAAATGGTGCCTGCATTGGCCTGCATTCTTATACTGAGAAAGTTTTAATTTTCTTTAATATTTTCTTTTGATTGTGAGTTTAACTGTTTGGAGAAGCTGTGCAGCTCTTGAATATCTGCAAAATTAGTCTGCAAGAGAATCTTCTCATATGATAAATTGTGCTTACACTAAAGATACTATTGTGCAAGCCTTCTGGGTTTTGCTTTACTCTGGGCTTGTGTTTGCATCAGTATAGCAGGGGAATGTGCTCATGTAGCTTTTTCTTCACAAAAGGTGATTTGGTGCCTCCTAGATGCTGCCTACTGTGGTATCAAGAGGAGATATCACTCACAGCGAGTGGTGTGGAACGATGCAAAGCCCCACGTGCTTGGTTCTCAAATTACCAGTGAAGCAGCTAACAGCTTCTGACACATACATGGTTGACATTGGACGTCTGAGTTAACATTGCACAGATAAATGGGATGCTCCTTGCCCAATAGCCATTGTTTCAAGCTCCCTGCAAACTCCCAGGCCACGTGTTTTGGTTACAGCCTGCTCGCATCATAAATGTCGCAGTCACTGCTGTGGCCAGCGATGATATGTTTGTTGTGTGTGCACTAACAAGTGAAAGAGGGGCATGAGGGCTGAGTGCCAGGTCAACCATGAGGGCAGTCAGCGTGTGTGCAGCCAGCACTGTTTCAGTCTGCCACCAGTGAGCTCCTGTCTCTGAGGAGCAGCACTTGGGATCTTGGCTGGGGTAGCAGGTTTCAGCTCTTCTACCCGTGGAAGGTGCTGTAAGGTGGTTCATCAGGCTGCAAGTGGCTGCTGACAATGTGGGATGTGTTTGCCCCTTCTGTCTCTTATGGGTCTAGAGGTGGCAAGAAGAGCCACAGGACTCAAAAATCTCTAGAGCTGATTGTGCCAGCAGTGGATTGACCTTTTCAGAGGTATTGCCCCAGAGACTTGGAGCTGATCCTTCTTATGTTAACCGTGGTTCACGTGGGGACTGGTTTTGGCTGTTACTGTTTCCCTATGAAGTTGGAAATGATGGAAATGATAATGAAGGAGGAGGAAAGAAATTGTCATTAGAAATATATCTCTAACAGTTCCTGTCACTTAGTTCTAATGCAACAGAGTAATTTAAAACTTTTTTTGACTGACTATATGATGAGTAAAGTGCTTTGTTAA